AACGTGTTGTTCTTGAACGGTAGGCACGAGTGGTTTGGCTTCTGCTGTCTTTCAGGTCTTGGCATGTTAAGTGCCCGCATTCTAACCACAATCACACCTCCGTCCCGTGACTCTGCCAGGCTTCATTTGTCTCTCAGCGCTGACCACACCTGGAATAGAATGAGAGCTCTGTAACTGTGACGAGTTCACGTCTTTTGTTGGCACCTGGGGGTGTTCAGATATTAAGCACCCAATAAGTGTTAGATGAATAAATGGACAGACAGATGAACAATGCCTCCCTTTCTAGTTTATGTTTGTGATGGTTATTCATCTTCATGATATACTTGACTGGGTTTAGAATCACCTAGGAGACACACCTCTGGCCAGCCTGGGAGGGCATCTCGAGAGAGGTTTAACAGAGTGAAGATCCACAATGAAAGTGGGTGCCTTGTCCCGAGAGCTAGGGTCCGAAATTAAACAAAAAGGGGAAAAGGAGAAAGTCAGCTGTGCATCGACACGCCGCTTCTGTGCTTTCTGATCTGTCTAGATGTGAGCAATCTCCGGACGCTATCGCCTTCCCTACCCGGACTCATGCACAGCACTTCGAAGTCCCATCACCCCTGCCTCCCCATTCCACGGTTTCCTAGAATTTTGAAAAAAGAGACAAAAAGAAAAAAAAAATTGTAGACCAGGCTTGGCCTCAAATTACAGTGACCCACCTGCCTCTGCCTCCCCGAGGGCTGGGATCACAGGCTGCACCACTGTGCCCGGCTTATCTAATGCTTCGTAGCCTGCTTAGACTAAAAGGCGTGCGCCACCCTGCCTAGCCTGGAAAAGACATTTTTTATTGAAAAAGAGACCAAGGAACATGTCAACACAGCTGTCCTCTTGAAGCTGGAAATGCGACACCCAGGAGCAGCATAGGACTTCCATTGTATGTTTAGTAAATAAATCCAGGTAGGTATAAAAATAGAAATACCCTCAAGTTCAGCTCTCCAAGGAGAGGACCAAACAAAGATGGGTCTCTCTGTTGGAGCTTTGCTTGTTTGATCACCTGAACATCAGGATTGAATGCCACCCGAGCAGCAATGTGACAAAGCTGCAGAGGTGTAGGGTAACAGCAGGCCGCAGACTTCATCCCACACAGGTCCTGACGGGTCCCCTAACCTGTGAGGAAGTTTCCAGCACAAGCTTGGCCTGACAGACATCCTTGTTGTCCTCCCTCCCAAACTTCTCCCCATTGTTTTAAAAGGATAACTGTGAAGCACAAAGACGATGAGTGTTACCCAGAAAGGTCTGCATCCTGAGAGAGCATTAAGGCAAGTACAGGCAGCATACTGACCCCTCTGTCTGGAGGGAAACAAACCCTAGGGTAACAAAGGTAAGCTAAACACACCAGTGAAATATTTAAGCAAAGCATTTCTTGAGATTTTGGCTAGTGCATCCCACCTGTATTAATCAAACTTTTTAAAAAATATTTTTTATTTTATTGACCAAACTTTTTAAAAAATATTCTATTTTTTATTTAATTTGTATAGGTGTTTTGTCTGCATGTATGCTTGTATATCACATGTATGCTTGGTGCCCACAGAGGCTAGAAGAGATGTCAGGATCCCCCGGAGCTGGAGCTATAGGCAGTTGATAGTTGCCATGTGGTCTTGGAAACTGAACCTGGAACAGTGGTTCTCAACCTGTGGGTTGAGACTCTTTTAGGGGCTGCATATCAGGTATCCTTCACATCACATATTTAAATTATGATTCATAACAATGGCAAAATTAATTATGAAGTAGCAACAAAGTAATTTTACGGTTGGGGTCATCACCTCATGAGGGATTGTACTAAAGGGTCATGCATTAGGAAGGTTGAGGACCACTGCCCTAGATCATCCAGTGCCATCTTTCCAGCCCTAACCATCACTGTGACAAATTCAAGAGCAGTAACTAAAGCAAGGGAAGATTTAACTTAGCTCCTAGTTTTGGTTCGTGGTTAGCTGGTTCCATTACCTTGGGCCTGAGGCAAGCCTCGGACACCTTGGTAGCAGGAGCACATGATGGAGGCTGTTTACCTGAAGGTGGCCAGGAAGCAGAGAGGGGTGAGAGCAAGACACACTCCCCGGGGCCCCCCTTCTTCCAACCAGCCCCAGCACCTCCCAACAGTCTAGTCAGGTCCTGGCTTCATCTGTGGATCAGTCCACTGACGGAGGCAGAACCTGTATGACTGGATCATTTCCCTAAAGCCCCACCTCAGAACACTGCTTGTATCAGGACCTAGCTTTGTGCTGTCGGGATTCTTCACATCAAAAGATCAGAATACTCTGTCCACACTGTGAGGTGGACCCCTGTCCATCAGTGCCGCAGTGCCGCTTTGACACAGAAAAAGGCACACACCTCTCAGGCACTGAAAGCCTGATAAGGAGGATTGTTATCCTTGAAAACGCATCACAGACAAAGCGTTAGAGAGCTGTTTTCTCCATGAATGACACATTATGATCAGGCAATAGGTGTTGCCTGAAAAATGACAAAATGCAGATCCAGGAAAGGACCGTTACAGCACCCTTTCCCTAACCAGCTCCTCGGGCATGTCAAACTGTAAAGTTAAGCTGGATGCATTTACAGTGGCCAACAGTAGCCAGAAACACACCAGCAGTGACTAGCCCACAGGGTGCTGGGGGAGGGGCAAGCCTCTGTTGTTTTGATTTATGTTCTGGCTGTGTAGCTCAGGCTGGTCTAGAACTTATGATCGTCAGGTTGTGGACTGGAGGTTTTGGGTCCCTGCAAATTCCTCTGCTGAAATCTTAACTCCTCATTCTGAGTCTTAAAGAAGTGAAGCCTCGGGAGGTGATAACCCTGGGAAGGTGGAGGTCTGAGCAAATGGTATTAATAATATCCTTATAAAAAGAGACCCCAGAGATTTTCTAAGGCTTTCTTTCTGACACATAGAGATTTGTCGAGCAGTTGGAAGTCTACAAGACCAGGAGGGCCCTCATCAGAACCCAGCTTTGCTGGCACCTGTCCTGTTGTTTCCAGCCTCTAGAATCAGAAATGGGCTGCTGCCACTTAGAAGCCCTGGTACTTTGACACAGCAGCCCTCCCCAAACAAAGAGTCCTTCCTCAGCATGCGGAGTAGTGAGCAAACTGTTTCCTGCTGCCTGGTGGGGATAGCCTTGTATAAGTCTGAGAACTTGTAACATAAAGGGTTTGTCAGTCTGTGAATGTGGTAATGACCTTAAGAATGAGAGACAGGGGGTGGGTGGGGACAGTGGTTATGCACACCTTTAATCCCAGCACTCTGGAGGCAGAAGCAGGTGCATCTCTGAGTTTGAGGACAGCCTGGGTCTACAGATGGAGTTCCAGGCTACACAGAGAAACCTTGTCTCAGAGAGAGACAGAGAGAGAGAGAGAGCGAGTGAGAGAGAGCGCTAAAATGGTGGCATGTGTCTATAATCTCAGTGCTTTGGAGGCTGAGGCAGGAAGATCAAAAGATTGAGGGCAGTGTGACTAGATAATGAACTATATAGTGAGTTCCAGACCAACCAACCTGCCTGATTAAAAATGTCGGCACGTGGGAGTTGGACAGGAAAATCAGAAGTTCAGTGCCAGTCCCAGCTACATAATGAGTTGATACCAGCTCGGGCTACAGGTATTTCAACCAAACAAAATGAATGAATGGGAAGTCATTAGTCTGACCTAATATGGAAACTGTTAAAAGGGAAAAAAGGATCAGGCTCTTCCAGAAGGACACAGTGAAGCATGGGGGGAGGGGGAGTGATACAAGTGAGATTTTTCTGATGCCAGTTTTGAAGACAAAGAGGGCAGACAGCCCCTAGGCTTACGCCTGGCCGTGGCTCTCAGCTGGGAGACCAGATCCTCAGAACTGAAGTTAGCCACCACCGAATGGATTTGAAGGTCATTCTTCCTCAGAGCCTGCAGAAGGAACACAACCTGGCTGAAACCCTGTTTCACCTGTGAGCCCCTGAGAACAGACTACCAAGCAGGTCTGACCCTTAACTGCCATCTTGTTCCAGGCTTATTGGAAACCAAAAGCCACTGTATCTTTAGCAAAGAACTTAAAATCATTTGTCCCAGCAAAGTACCAGCAGTGAACAGGTGTGATCTCTTTAGAACAAAACCTAGGACACACACCTGCAGCATCTCCATGAGACAGGAGTGGGGCCTTGCTCAAGAGTAACCCCTTTGCTTCACTTTTGGAGAAAATCACCACCAGCAACTTTTCTAAGGTAGCTTTGACCAAGGTGCTCCGAAACTCCTTTCTCAAGCAAAGTTGTCCTCCAAACCCCATGTATAAGCCACAGCCTCCCTCTACGAAGTGTCCGCTTTGCTCAGGGCATCTGACCAGGTATTTCCTGACCTCAAGTGGCCCCGGCACCTGTCCCCACACAGGGAAACCCTCACGCTGTTAGCCCTTTTGTGACGCTCGGTTCGCCAGGCAAGCTCTGCTTCCTTGCTTGGTGATGTTGGGCAGGAAACCACATGGTCCCTACACACTGACCAAGTATACTCATGAGCAGGCAGTGCAGTGTCGTGAGGAAGGCGCCCCAATCCATGAGACCCCCGAGCTCCACGGGCTCTGGGTGCTTTCTGGGTATCCAGGTAAGCCCTAAGAGAGCATGCCTTTGCTTGCTGAGCTCGGCCCGGCGGGCTTCGGACGTCCATTCGGTGGCTGGAGACTTAGCTATCTTCTGCACCTGCTGTACAAATGAGATCACCGTAGAGTTCCCTTTTCGGGGAAACCAAGTAGATGCCATTCCCAAGGCTTGCCCCAGACACAGTCCTACCCAGGTCTCCACCGGTAGCTTCGGAGAAAGGAAATCACCGAACTTTCCTTTCGTGCCTTGATTGGCTTGGCTGGAGGCAGGAGGAAGCTAGCTTAAGGCAGACGGCCCACGCGCGGGCTGGCGAGCCACTGGGCGGCGCCTCTCCTAGTGGTCAGGGCAGGGACTCCAGGGCACTGGGCTTTTGTGACAGAGCGTCTGGTGACCAGCAGGCTACCGGGCGGCCTGGGCGAGCGGGCGCGGTGCGCTGCGCGGCGCGGCAGCCAGGGGGCGGCCGCGCCCACTTCCTCCGCCGCTCCGCACCCGCCCGCGGCGCAGCGGGGCGGCAGCGCCGCGCGCCCAGAGCTACCCGACCGCGGCGAGGCGGCCCTCCGCGCGCTCCGAGCCCACCGCGCGCCCTGCGACCCCGCTGCGGAACGGTCTGCTGCCCGCATGGACACCACGCTGAAGCGGAGCCGCTCCGAGGAGCCCGCGGAGCTCCAGGCGCCCGCCCGGGAAGTGGAGGAGAAAGGGGAGGAGGAAGAAGAGAGGATGGAGCAGGGCCTGGAGGAGGAGGAAGAGGTGGACCCCCGGATCCAGGTAGGACGCCGGAGGGGAGCCCGCAGCCCCACCCCGCCGGGGCTGCCGCGGGAGTCGGCGTCCACGCGGATACACGCCGTGCAGCCCTGAGTGTTCGCGGTCGCGGGGTGGAGGCTGCTTAAGTCCAGGAGCTGCACCGAAGGTTGGGACACCCTATTTCCCGTTCTCCCCCCCGGGGGAGACTGCGGTGCCCGCGTGGACGCGGCCTAATTATTGCGAGGATCTCTGCAGACCCTCGGCCCAACCGGAGGGTCCCTGCGACGCGACCAGCGGTTCAGGCTGATTGCAACAAAGGAAAAAGGGGGCGGGGGCCCCCGAGAGGAGTCGGGGTACCTTGGCGCGGCTCTTCGCGCCCGGAGCACTGCACAGCCCCCGGGCTTCTGAGCAACGGTACCCCAGCTGGTGGACACAGACACGGTGGTGGGGCTAGCGGTGACAGATGGTTGTCACCTGCCCCTGCGGCGTGGGCTGCACTGGTACGAGGCGCCGCGCGAGCCCTCACCTGGCCGAGGTGCCTGGCTTCGGCCGTCTTCCTCTTTTGGTTCATTGTCAACACCCAGAAGGCGTCATTGCCATCGCTGGCACAGTGTTGCACTTGGCCTGACACTGGTTAAGACCCTGCGTTTGCTTGTGAGGTCGGTGTGAGCACCATCCAGGGACAGCCGATGCGCAAAGCTGACGCGGAGAGGCAGAGAAGGCAGAGGAACCCTGGCTCTCTGTACCTCCATTTCCAGGAGACATGTTAAAAAACAATTTCCAAGCGAGATCCAAGAGTGACAGCTTAACCTCTTCACCCCCAAGCTTAAAGCACAGCGAATTCCTTTCCATGACCCATTTGTGTGCCCTTTCCATAAATCAGTTTTAAAAATTGCTGTTAAGCATGCTTTGCAATTTTTGGGTCCGTAATTAGTTTTAGTGCGCAGATTTTCTTTTAAAAAGCTTGCTTTTAATTCACTGGTTATGTCTTAATTTTTTTTTGTCAAATTATCACTCTAAAGATCGGTGAGAAAACCTCATTAGCCATTCTGTTAACTCAGACTATGGGTTTGGACTATGGAATCTTGTGGGTTTGGCATGGAATTTTGTTAGCCAGACCCTTATTTCACAAAGTAAAGATGAGCTGGCTTCATGTTGGCTACTTCTTACAAAATGTTAGATTGCAAATGTTTAAAAGCGTGAGTAGAATTAACGCTAGTTAACCGCCAACACCCGTTAGGCAGGGTGAGCAGTTAGGGGGAAAAATTCATGTCTTTATACGAAATACCCACTGATGAGTTAATGCTACAAGTCTGTCTTTGGCCTGACTGTACTGGCTTTGTGATTTGGCTTGGCCTTATTTTCCTGTACTGATTTTCTTGAAAAGTTTTCTAAAGTTGTTTTGACTGTTACTGCTTGTAACAGGTGAGTTCACCCGGGGTTGGGGGTTGGAGTGGTATGGAATGACCTTTCAGGGAAAGATAAATCTGTAGGACCTTAAAGACGTCCTCAGAAAGGACACGGTTGACAGAAGGTTTTAAAAATGCCAGAAGTTTGTCTTTTAGCCAAGCCTCCACTGTTTTAAGAGTGCAGTGCCTTTCATCATTCAGGGATGATTTTCCAGTTGTAGGCTGAGTTACGCTAGAAGCAAGAGGCGTGCGCCTCACATCTCTCTCTCTCTCTCTTCATTAGGGGGAACTGGAAAAGCTGAATCAGTCCACGGATGATATCAACAGACGGGAGACTGAACTCGAGGTACAGAGCCGTGGCCTGTTCTTGGGTGGAAGAGTGGTGGTCACCTTTGACACTGGGCTGCTTTGTTTTGTTTTAAGAGCCGGAGGGTGACCCCGGGAGGCCCCTGCGTGGATGCGGAGCCACAGCGTGCATGGGCCTGACAGCCCAGGCTGCCGGCTGAGGCATGTGGATCCAATTTCATGTGTTGTTTTTCATTATGGCGGTTCCACTGGGGCCAAAATCAAGGGCAGAGCAGAGTAGACAATGCTTAGGGTCCAGATATCCCTGTATCTGTTGAAAAGCCAGAAGACTTGAGATTTAGCTGAACTCTATTTACTAGAGTAGAATGAATGAGTTTACATTGCTCCAATGTATTATTTAGGCTAGCTCCTTCCATTCATGGTTGAACTGTTTAGGTTTCCTCAGATTTAAGCCAGATATTTTACATTCCCATCCTAATAACTCACTCCTGCTTCCACTTCCCTGCTCATTTCTTTATCATCTGCTTGTGTAGAATATAATTATCTTTAATGGTAACAAAAAGCTGTTTGTGCCGGGAAGGGTTTTCCTGCTGGGAAACTCTTGGGAGATAAGATCTTGATTTGAATTTGAGAATGTTCCAACCTTCCTGTAAACAAGTTGGGGTTCTGCGAAGCTACCAATTTCTAGTAGTGGTAGAGTTACTAGCCAAAGGGAGCCTACCTCTGTGAGTGACTGTCAGGCCTGAGGTAGTGCGCGGAGCTGTGGCAAGAACCTGTTTGTTCCGTAGAAAGAGCAAGCTGAGAGGAAAAAGCAGAGAAAGAACATCAGGTCTCCTAGAGTGAGAATGTGGGGTAGGAAAATACTTTGCAGAAATTTACAGGCAGCCTGTTTTCTGATAGCATGTAGCCTGGGAGATCACAGATCCCACTGTGGCAGTATGCACTGAAGTTTCTCAGGGCTGTGTGAAGGCTGATCTGTTGCTACCTCCCATTCTGATGTATTGGAGCACTGTTGACGTTGGGCAATTGAACTCTTCAGAGCCTCAATTTTCTAATGCATTAAACAAACAACAAACAATCTCTACCCTTTTTAGAGGGCATTAACACAAACCAAAGGTTTCCCCTACGGTTTCATGTGGTCCAATCACAACAGCCCAGAGCTGTGCAGTTGGCTATGGAAGCCATGAGTTGCCCACTGAACTGTTTTTGTTCGTTTTAAACATTCTTGTGTATTTTGACTGACTTCAGAATTCGGTATGTAGCGGAGGATGGTTCTGAACTCTGGATTCATCTCTAGGTCTGCGGTTACAGGTTTGCGCTGCTGTACCCAGCTATTTCAAACGCTTTCATTTGTGCGTCCCAAATGTATGTAGACAAGTTGAAAATAATTTGGTTCTGGTTTTGAGCAAAAATTTTGGCTTGTTTATGTTTGCAGTGTAGGGACGAAGCCCTGAGCCCATGCATGCTGTGCTAGCATTCTGCCATGGACTTGTGGGTGCGCAGAAATCCAGAACAGCTGACTAGGGACACTGTAGACCCTGCAACCCCAGCACCTGGGAGGCAGAGGCAGGAGGATCAGGAGGTGAAGGTCACACAGCCATAAGCAAGCTTTTGAAGCACATGATCCTGTCTCATGGAAGGAAAGAAGAAACGAAGGAAAGAAAGAAAAGTAACTAGGAATCATTGAGGCAGAAAGCTAGAGATGGAAAGGGGAATGGTCTGGCTCTGTGTTTGGGTTTCTGAGAGAGATAATTAAGCCTGGTTTGTCTGTCCCTTTTTGCTGTCTTAACCACAATAGGTCACCATTCTGGGTAATAAACAACCTAGTCCTTAACCCTATAGCTCAGTCTCCATGGCACCTGCCTCTGGGGGTTAGTTGGTTCATTTGTTAAACTCTGTTTAACCCCACTTTCCGAATTCCACAGATTTGGTGTGTCACAGGAAGCCACTGGACAGCTGTTTCCTGTTAGGCTCTAGGGCACATTTGGAACCCTAGTGTATTAGTCAGGCTTCTCCAGAGGAGCAGAGATTATGGAATGAAGTCTTTTGTATATAAAAAGGTTTTTTTAAAATATAAAAATGAATGGCTTAAAGGCTGTAGTCCAGCCTTGGCAACAACGGCTGTTGACCGATGGCAGGCCAAGAATCCTTTAGTTTCTGAGTCCCCAGAGCTGGGTGTCTCAGCTGGTCTTCAGCATAAGCTGGAATCCTGAAGAAGTAGGCGCAAACACCGCCGAAGGAATGGACTTGCTCAGGAGAGTGAGAGCAAGCAGGCAAAGAGAGCAAGCTTCTTTCCTCCATGTCCTTTGCCAGTGGCCCACATTAAAGGTGGACCCTCCCACCTCAAGAGATCTGCATTAAAAAGTGGGTCTTCCTACTTTACATGATATCATTTAGGAAAAATAAAATCTCTCACGGGTGTGCCCAGCCGCTCATGCTTTAGTTAATTCCGTGTGTAGTGAAGTAGTGTGAGCCGGAGGGTTTGCCTAGGGTAGCCTGGCTGTTTCTGGGTGGCCGTCACCTAGTGTTGTTACAACCAGGACGGACTCAGAGAAGTATTCATAAGCCACAGAAGCAATCTTACAACTCCCTAGTTGCTACATTAAAGATTACAGAAGACATAGGGGAAATTAATTGTAATGTGTTTTGTTTAACCCAGAGTATTCACAGTGGCATGAATTCAACAGGGAGTCACTATAACAAAATAATTAACTTGGGGGCTGGCAGTGTAGCTCAGAGGAAGGGTGCTCCCTGACGAATGTAGGAGGACAGCTCAGTAGGCTTGATTCCCTCCCTCGCTCATGTGATGAGTTCTGGGGTCAGAACTCGGGCCATTGGGCTTAATGGCAAGCACCTTTACCTGCGGAGCCATCTTGCTTTCTGTGCCCTCTCTTTTCAAACATTTGTGAAAATGGATTAGATACAAAATTTCTAAATGTAATTAGAGCCAAGATTTTCAGTATTCCATGCCTTCAAGTGTACATCTATACACACACATATTTGTTTATAAATATGTATGTGCGTATATATACACACATATGTATAAAATACCTTTGTAAAACCTAGTTTTCAGCATTTTTTCCTGCACGTTCTGAAGGAGGCTGTTCTAGGGCTGTGAAATGGACTGAGGAGCCGGAAGGGGTAGGCCATGGGCACCTGCTAGTTAGTCATTCAGCATCTTATACTGGAGTTGACAGCAGGCTTTTCCCACCCTCCCTTGGCTGGGAGGCTTGGTGAATGTTTTTCTTCTCTGCCTGTGCTCAGAAGTATGATCAGTCCCGAAACATGGCTTGAAAAATAAATCACTGGAGTTCCCCCACCTCACAGAAGGCCTGCACCCAGAACCTGTCTTTTCCTCCTCCCGGAGCAAGCAAACATTTCATTTAAGAAAACAAAAAACAGCAACAAAAATAACAGCCATGCTTTGAGCTTGGGAACTCAGGGATAGGAGGGGAAGGTGAGGAAGGAGGGGCCAGATTAGAAACAGCCTGACTTCTGTCCCTAATGGATTATTGGCACAAGTCAGAAAAGAAAAATAACTATGTTAAAGGGCAGTGCTGTCACACCTACCAGTTTCTGGTGTGTGTGTTGGGGCATGATGGGCACTAGGCCAGGAAGGTCCTGTGTCCGACAACGTGGTGCTTTGAAGAAAGTGCTAGAGAGCATTTGAAGTGATGAGCGACCGAGAGGAAGTAGCCAATAACTGTATGCTTCTTGAAGTGGGTACCAAATGCTAGGCCTGGTGGCAGGTCACTGGGCTGGGTAGAGCCTGACCTGGGATCTCCACGTGAGATCTGGTCGAGATGAATATCATCTCATCCCCAGGGTTTTTGTGCAACAAGAACATGAAGTGAATCCAGTGGGGTAGACTGGAGTCCTGTCTGAGACAGCAGGGCTGTGGTGGTTGACAGAACAGGAGACCAAGTGTCTGCTGTCAGGGAGCCTCCCATCCCTTGCGTGGAAGCTGGTGGGGTGAGAGGGGTTCTGAGAGAGAACCGCACAGGCATTTTGGGAAGCCCCTGAGGATCTGACAGGATGGAGACCATTAAAGTCAAGGCCTAAAGAACTCAGGTCATCTGGAGTAAAAGCTCAAGAGCAGTCTAGAGTGGCAGAGAAAGAGAGCTGGCATGACAGACGTTGCCTGTGTGTGAGGAAGGGAGGTCAACGCTTTTGTTTTATTGTTCGAGTCAACAACAGAAGCCTATGTTCTCACAGTGCATGAGGCCAGAAGTCCAGGCCTGGGATCCCTTCCCAGCTTGCACATGGCTGCTTCTGCCTGTGTCTTCTCACCAGGAAGAAAGCAAACAGCTGTCTATAGTTTTTTTCTGAGTACACTCATCTTTGTATCGGGCCCTATCCATATAGCCTCATTTAAGTCACTAGTTTTAAAGGCCCCGTTTCTAAATACAGTGAAATGGGACCTGGTGCCTTTCTTAGTCATAGTCAAAGGTGTTTTATTTTATTTTTTCTTTGTTTTTTTCTAAGTGGAGCATATGATGAGACCCGAAGTTTGTGAGGGAGACTTTGAGAACAGCTAAGAACTTAACTAGAGAAACAGGTAATGCCTCTGGGCCTGCTCGTAGTTGACACTAGGGGATTAGAATGAAGCCTGCCCCTGTTACTGAGCCTGTTAGCAACTGGCTAGTTGTATAGACAGCAGGTCTCATCACCTCCACTGGGCTTCCTGCTATACTGACCTGTCACTTGGGCATGCTTTGTGTGTGTCTGTGTGTGTGAGAGAGTGTGAGTGAGTGTGTATGTGTGAACATGATACATGATGCTTAGGGCTCAAGGCCAGTTGCTCTACTACTGAGCTACATCCCAACCTCTTTTTTATTTTTATTTTTTAATTTCATTTTAGGGTTTCACAAAACTATGTTGCCTAGGCAGGTCTCAAGTTCACTCTGTAGCCAAACCAGGCCTCTTAAGCCTACAGTCCTCCTGCCTCGGCTTCTGGAGTAGCCGTGAGTATAGGTCTGTGCCACTGTGTCCTGCAGCATAATGGCGCTGCCCCTGCCTCAGGTTAGCCATCTTTGGGAT